CCCCAAAACCCCAAAACCCCAAAACCCCAAAACCCCAACCTTAAATTCCATAATTGATTGGTCTATAAATAATTATTTAAACCAAACCTATCTATCATGAACAAAGATCAAACCGAATGTGACATATTCAGCCATTCTTCTTACCTAAAATCCCAAAATCCTCACCTAAATCCCAGGAGAAAGAGGCGAACAGCCCAAGATGCCTGAGGCAGGACACAGTATAAATTTTAGAGAAACTGGTTCAGTAGGACAAAGATTAGAAAGAGAACTAGACCAGGAAGAAGTTAGAAAGAAAAGTAGCAGGAAGAGGTCTAAAAGAGCAAGAGACCGCAAGAAACTTTATGTAAACTGGAGATGAAGGTAGCTGAGCTGGAGAAGGAGAACTTTAGACTTCAGAACTTGCTGATTTCGTATAGGAGTGATAAACTAGAGATTATGGGCAAAGAACCAGTTTCATTTATTGAGCAATATAAAGAATATAAGAATGGCTTATGCAATAAATTCATTGAAGGAGAAGGAAACCAGAATAAACGAGACCAAAACATCACTCTTCTCAGTGAATTCGAGAGAACTATAACAGAAGAAATAAAATCCCATAAAGATTTCCTCGATGCTACTTTTGAAGCACTAATAAGCCATCCTTTTCCTGCTTTAAAATAACAAATACTGGGGTGACTTCGACAAATCTCCCCTAAAAGATTATGAAACTATCCAAAAATTTTCAAAGTTGTCCAAATATCAGATACCAGAGTTTAAAGAGAAGCATGACATCACTCCTATTGACGAAGTTGTTGCTTCATTATATCCAACCAAGAAGCAATATAGCTTCATGAAAAAATTCATCAGTAGAGAAAAAGAAATTTACAACTGTTTTAAACAAGGGGTTGAGCTCTTATTGAAAGCAAAGGAAATATTTGAACAGACGATTCCTTGTTGTATCATGAATGTCGAATACTTTATGAAGAGTAAAGTATTTGATGACCAGAAGTTTCTTGACTCTAAGTATTCAGAGTACTTCCTCATCAGTAACAATGCTTTTAATGATATCTTCAAAATCCAAGTAACCCCCAAAGCACACACCTTCGACCTCGAAGCCTGCCCTGAATTCGGAAAACCCTCAAAAAAACTCCTCAAAAGGTCAGAAAGGACCCTCGAAATCACCTACAACCACTTTTCACTTCCTTCTTTGTAGTTAAATTGGGGCAATGGAGGATAGAGATTGGGGTTTTGGGGTTTTGGGGTTTTGGGG